TGCGCCAGAACTCGCGCCCCAGAGAAAAATGTCATATAAGGTAAGATACCAGGAACATGGAAAAAATGTTAAAAAAATTTTATCTATAAAAATTTCGAAGTTATGAGGGTTTCAATTTTGCACTTTGACTCTATTTATTTCTGTTGGAAAAATAATTTTCCAAGTTTTTTTGCTATAGGCTATTAAAAAAGGAAATAAGGAAGCTGTATCCTAAATTGTAACTCTGTTCAATGTTATTTGTGGCTTTTATTGTAAAAAATTTTTGTCCCTTTACTAAATAATTGTAAAAAAACATATACAAAATCATCAGTATCATTAAATAGATATAAAAAAATGTCAAATGTCAAAAAATAAATGTCAAAATTTTTTGACAGATAGAATTTTTTAAACATTTTTTTTATGTTCCTGGTATCTTACTTTACTTGAAAATTTTCTCTGGGGCGCGAGTTCTGGCGCACCCTGTATTTGCAAACTACGACAAAATCGAATATCAAAATAAAGAATTATATTTCTGGATATGGTTCATATTTCGTTTTCAACTATTGTAATACGTCTTTCTTATTGTTTTCTCGTTTTTAAAAAAATAGTACCTACTTATAATGTTTTATTAGAATTAAAAGTGTTAGTTTTTTAAACAAATTTTGCATTTTGTTTAAAAAAATTCTAGTCTAGGATTAAAATTGAGAAATGTCATAGTAACAATTTATTTCATAGTTTTAAAATGTCTGACTTCTTTGTCAAATCACCCTTACGTGCCCTTACTATAGTTTCGCCAAAATTGTTAAAACATAAAAATATTACAAACAAACTTGTATCAAACTGCAATTTCTATATTTGTTGGTTTGTTTTTTTTTGCTAAAATGAGCACCTAGCAGCAGCCTTATCGTCAGTTGTCAGCACTTTAAGCTGAGTTTGCATAAATCATGCACTCTCGTAAACATAATACCATAAGCTTTCAAAATAAATTTTATGATACGGTAGCTGTATTAAGGGTCACTCATGCAATAAACCTCTTCAAAACACATTAAATGGATCAAGAAGATTAACGTATCAACTAGTAAAATAAAAACAAGCCGATAATGTTGCTATGGTGTCACTTTCGTGTTTCCTTGTTATTCCAAATATGTTTGTGTGTAAGCGTTGTAGTGTAAAATTATCTCATTTACGGACCGCTGTAGTATGACTTTCGGAAGTTGTTCAGTTGTGTTAGTCCTTCATTCGGTTTTGTGTCTAATTTAATGACAAATTCCATAAATGGGAGTCATCGAGTCATCACCGCTATTACAAAAAAATATGCCTCTTTGTTCATCAAATTAAATTTTAATTGATTTTCATTGTAAAGAAAAGGAATTCGAATAAAATAATTTTTAATATTCTTGAACGTAATAATTTTACAAAAAGTTTTGTTACGTTGTTATTATTCTTTTCACGGTTTTGTTTGTGCGAAAAAGGACACGTAACTTGTTCGAGAGAGATTTCTTTTATCGCTATACTCCACCACGGGGAATTTTTATGGGTTTTTAGCTAGTTCAGAATCTAACAAAAAACTCAAGTGTTTGTTTCATCCAAATTGCTCAGGCACATTTACCCCCTTTGTGTATTCTGGCATCCCATGAATATCAAATCCAAACCATCATCAATCTTTAAAATTAGGTTTCTTTTGAACATACTGTCTCAAACACCTACCTAAGCAAAATAAACTATTTAATTTATTTTTTCACTACTAGTTGTAAAAGGTACTGTAATATTTCGAAGAAAAGGGGGCCTGGTGTGAATTTTCCAAAGAGTTGTCCCTCCGAATGGTGGACGCCAAAATTTCCCCTTTTGCCCTACATTGTGTTTGTTGTGTCTCGAAAATAACAAAAGGAAAATAATTAGAAAAAAAAATTCTAATTGACCCGAGGTATAACGAGGCCGCGTTGTAAGAAAGAAAACACAAGTTTCAAACCACACTTAAATTTATTGAACATAAAAAATAAAATAATTAGAGAACTTGGTTCTGATTGTTTGTCGCCGAACTTTCTCAAATTAAATAAATTCAAGAGAAAAATGAATTAATAAATTATCCAAAATTTCCTAAGTTCTGGTTTTTCGGTGCTTTGAAATAAATCAAGAGAAATTAAATGATAGATTGGTTTAATGTGAAAATTGCAAATAGGGATACAACGTCCTAAACTGCCGGCCTGCAGTCGAATTAATGGGTTAAAAGGTTTTGAGGAACTTTGGTTGTCGAAACCTTTTAAATTTTGGAGAAAAGGCCGAAACGATTTAATTAGAATAATTATTATAAATTGATTAAATTAAATCAAAGATCATTAATAGATCATTTAATCAAATTATCAAATGATAATTCAAGGGGGGAGGAAGTTTACCAGAACGTTGATAAAACATGCATTAATTAATTAAGAAGCACGAATTAAATTATTCTCTAATTACGTAAGGGAAATTAGTAAATCCTAAACTTACGTTGCTTATGATTTGGACACTTTCACTAGGAAAATGGAAAATTGTGACAAATGCGAAATTACGTCTTAACTCTCCACTCTCTCGAATCGAAGTCCCCCCGAAAATCGACTAGTCCCTTTTTTTCTCTCTCTCGCAATCCCTCTCCGGTACTACTCTTCCCCTACTCTAAACCTTTGACAAATCCCGATTTTGTTAATAATTCAAACAACCAAAAGAGCCAAGTTCAGTTTACAACAAAATGAACTTGTTATTAAGCTAATTAAAATTACCTAAACTGACTTTTGACCCAGACGTTGCTGATCCGCTGACGACAATAATTTGCAACGATTTACATTTATTACAAATTTGAACCAGGTCTTTCTAATATTAACAAAAATTAATACAATTTAAATAAAATTTACAATGGAGAATTTGTGCATTTCGAAGAAACACACGTGTGGCCTTGGAGTCGTTTTTGTCTGGATCGCTCGACACTATTGAAATCGTATCGAATGACCGGACGACGTTTGATAACATTTTTTAACATTTTTTGCGACTCTCCACTTTTTAAGAATGTTGACTTTTTCCGTAATTTGTGTAAACGTAATTTCATTTTAGAAGAAAAATAAAAATTACTCATCGCTTTGCAGGGTGCAGGGGTCCGGAATATTACAGTACGATTATTTAGTTTGTCGAGAGGTTGTTAAGCTGTTTTTCTCTCCTAGTGGTCAATATATTCATTAAAGACCAAGGGCAGTAATGGCTTAGAGGTGGTAATTACCGATATTGGAGGGTATCTAAAATATTATTATTTAAACTATTATCACAAGTACTAATGGAAGTAAGTAAATAAAAAAACTTCCTGTTTAAAAAACATCAAAATAACCCCACTTCTAAATCTGCTGTCTTTGTCAAAACTGTCAAAACAAAAAATGAGGTTACTTCATGTTACATCTCGGCTATAAAAAATCTCTTCTCTACCTTGTGATATTAATATTTCTATTAACATACAGGTGCGCCAGACCTCGCGCCTTAGAGAAAAATTTCAAGTAAGATAAGATACCGGAAAAAATGTTTAAAAAATTCTATCTGTAAAAAAAATTGACATTTATTTTTTGACACTACATTTTTTTATGTCTATTTAATGAAACTGATGATCCTGTATATGTTTTTTTACAATTATTTAATAAAGGTACAAAAATTTTGCCCATAAAAGCCACAAATAACATTGAACAGAATTACAATTTAGGATACAGCTTCCTTGTTTCCTCTTCTAATAGCCTGTGGCAAAAAAACTTGGAAAATTATTTCTCCAACAGAAATAAATAGAGTCAAAGTGCAAACTTTAAACCCTCATAACTTCGAAATTTTTATAGATAAATTTTTTTTAACATTTTTTTCATGTTCCTGGTATCTTACCTTATAAGAATGGCATTTTTCTCTAAGGCGCGAGTTCTGGCACTCTGTAGATGCACTCTGTAGATGCAGAAGTACAAAAATGACATAACCTCATTTGCGATAAGAATAAAATAAAACTTCCAACTTAAGTTAATAACTCAGGAAGTAATTTATTACCGTAGGTAACAATAAATTAACAAAAATAATATAAAAAAAAAGTTGTGAATTACGATAATATGTTACGTCTGAGGCAAAACGTTCATTAAGTAAGGTTATGCAGCGTGTTTTAAAACGATTTTCATCTAGTCGCTTATAAAATTTCCAAGCAAAATAAAAAATGCTGCTTTTAAAAAATATCAGTAACAGAACTATCTGATTCAAAAAGAGTAGAGCGGCACAGAAAAATCTACATATAAAGAAATTCTATAGGCTGTGCTTTATTGTCATAATAACTGACATTCAAATACGTATTGTCAAATTTATTCAAATTAGAACATGCCAGCAGTAAGTGCGTTTAATAAAATAAAAATTATTTCTCTGGTACAAGAAAGGAATGGTAAAAAGTAGCAAGAAGCATCGAACATCCTGTCAACATGACAAACGTTAATCAAAAATCTGATACAAGGTTAGGAAAATCTAAAGACTAATTTACACTTTTAATCTGTCAGGGAAATTGGGTGGACGTAATTCACTGTTCATCACTGTAATAAAGAAATTACCAACGTTAGTTGAGATTTGAAAAATAAATTATTTTTAATAAACCATCGCTTGAAGGAACACTGTAGGGTGCAATTTGGCTTTGCTTTTTTTAATTTTACCTCTTTTAAAAAATATTTGCTTTTTGTGCTATGCTGATGCCATAAAGAAATCATATTTTTGACATTCTGAAAACTCACTGTAAAGCAGGCTTAACGTCAAATTTGACTTTTGGAATTCTCCGAAATGTAAAACTGTATGCGTGACTAAAAGTAACTCAACCTGAAAAACTGGTATCACGACTTTATTTCAGTTTTCAAAATTATTTTTTTAAATTTAACTAAATTGATCGCTTCTATTTTCGAGTCAATACACTCTCGACCACAAACTAATTCGGTCGTATTGATTCAAACCCTTTTTCCGCGAATACGCGCTATTAGTGTGACGTCAGCAAGGTACGTGACTGTACCTTTGAAGCTAAACAAATAAAAGTTTATTTCTTGAATCCTGGACGTGTAGGGAGATTGTTTCTAAGGAAAAAGTTGCTATGAAAAATGTGTGTCGTTTCGTAATGGTTTTAACAATTGTAGTCAACAATTCTGTAATTTAATCTGTTCTAACCTCACTTTCTGTGTACGTCAAAAATATGTTTACAGCATTGCCAAAATGTTGCAAACGACAGGAGTGGATAGGTCGTACCAAAACAAAACAAAATATATTAACATTCACATAATGTATATTTGGCTGAGAATATAAATTATTATTTGTTTACAAGTAAATATAAATACCTAGTAAAAAAAATCTAGTATCAATTTGGTACTCTAGTAACACAACTGGCAACACTGTATGTTTAGCTTCAGTACAGTTGCGTCTGTGACGTCACGTCTAATAGCCCGTATTAAAACGATTACAAATCAAATTTTTTTATTCAAATAAACTTGATACAACTGAAGCAGACTATCTGGTGTTCTTGGCCTTACTATCGTTAAAGCCTTATCAAAATGCCTTATTTCTACAAACTCCGCTTCAAAACTATTTTTTAAAGCCACCATTGCTGCCTCATGACACTGCATTGACCTCAGCCCCTGAATACCCCCCTGTCGACCGGACCAACTCCTCAATATCCACATTACAAACCTGTAAAAACCGCTGAAACTCCACAAAAACTGAAAAAAAAACAACTTACTGGCATTTTAGCCAATTTCAATTTAAAGATTTCTCGTCTCGTGTCATCATCAGGTAACGGAACATAAACAATTCTATCAAGTCGYCCTGGCCTTAAAAGCGCTTTATCAAAACGATCAGGGCGATTTGTGGCCGCCAAAACAGTGACATCCCCCAGAGGCGAAACCCCAGCCAACTCGGTCAATAGCTGGGCCAAAACCCTCTCTTGCACACTCGTACTCGACCCGGAGCCCCTCTCGCCCCCTAAAGCGTCAATTTCGTCGAAGAATATCACAGAGGGGGCCACTTGTCGCGCTTTGCGGAACTCCTCCCTCACTGCCTTTTCTGACTCCCCCACCCATTTACTAAACAATTCCGGCCCTGTAAAACTTCAATTAACTTAATTAAATCAATTAATATTAATTTTATTAATTACCCTTGATTGAGAGAAAATTGAGCCCACTTTCGGTGGCCAAAGCCTTGGCTATCATCGTCTTCGAGCATCCAGGGGGGCCAAACATGAGGACCCCCTTAGGTGGGGTCACCCCTAGACGAAGGAAACTCTTTGGGTGTCGCAAGGGCCACTCCACGGCCTGTCTGAGTATCAATGTGAGACGCTCAAGCCCCCCAATGTCCCCCCAAAGCACATTCGCCACTTCCACTTGAACCTCACGCATGGCACTTAGTCTGACGTGTCTCAAGGCCGATTTGAAATCATCGACGGCGATTTTGTCAGCATTGCATTTAGAGGCCACAAGGCCGGCCCTGGAGCACAAAGAGAGCAAATCAGCCCCGACAAAACCGTGCGTATTTAACGCAATGTCGACCAAATCCGGCTCTGATAAATCATGGCCGACTTGAGATAAAAGTTTCGCGAGAATTTTTTCCCGATTTTTTGGGTTGGGGGTACTGATTTCAATCTCGCGCTCCAAGCGGCCCCAACGCTGCAAAACCGGGTCAATGGAGTCGAGTTTCCTCGTGGTTGCAAGGACAAAAACGCGATTTTTTAAATTATCCAAACAAAGCAGTCGGCCATTTATACTTTCATCTTCTGATGATGCTGTAAAAGCATCGTCTGGCATATCGTTCACATATGGTTTCAATTTGTCAACTGGACAAACACCACTGTAAAATTTTTGTGCACGTTGTGCGCCTGGTAGGTCTTCTATGACATAACGATCGTGAGGAAGCACTTTCGTTATCACGTAGGGTCCRGAGTATTTTGGCAGCAACTTCTTGCTTTTGRCATCGTTTGATGGAAGGACTTTTCTGACTAACACTTGTCGGCCCACTTCATAATGTTTAGCAGGTCGTCGTTTTGAATCAAAATGTTTCTTTTGTCGCTGCTGCTCTTTTCAGTGTTTTGAATACCTTCTGTTCGTATCTGTTGTATATCTTGCTGTTTTTCATTTACAGCCAGATCGTTCAGCAAATAGGCATCATCTACACCACGTGGACAATAGCCCATTAGCATCTCATAAGGGCATTTTTCTGTAGTTTTATTCTTTGTTGCATTAATCCCAAAACGTATTTGGTTAATATTTTCATCCCATTTGTTTTCTTGTTCTGACGAACAGCTTAATGCACCAAGGATGGTCCTGTTATATCGCTCCATTTGTCCATTAGTTCGTGGTGTTGCCGTAGCGATTAGAATTACTTTAATTCCATAATCATGGCAAAATGTTTTAAACTTTTTGCTTGTGTAGCAGGTTCCCCGATCACACACTATTCTGTAAGGTACACCGAACGTTTCAACAATATCTATCAGAAATAAGATCGCTGGTCCTGTTTTACAACTCGTTATTGCTTTCATAAAAATAAATTTAGAAAAAGCATCAATTGCTGTAATTAGGTGAGTGTTTCGTCGGACACTTTTCACAAAGGGTCCCAGATGAACTACATGCAAAGTATGCATGGGCACCTGACCTTTGTCAATAATATGCAAAAATCCTGGTTGCTTTCATGTTTGTTCTTTGTTGTAAGCACAAGGTAAGCAACAAGCAATGTATCTTTTAATGTATTTCTTCATATTCGCAAACCAGTAATGCTTTCAAACTGCTTCGAAATTTTTGTCTAGTGCAAAATGTCCTTTCATCATGGTAGTATGGGAAAAATCACGGAGGTTGACCGGTGCGTCATCTGACGTTTCTCCTCACCACGTTTACATCGCGATGACAAAACGTCAATTTTTTTGACGTTTTGGTTCAATATTTACGAGTTACAAGTTGTTTATTGAAGAGTGTGTTGCTTTGTACGATTCTTTGCAAAGGCATTTAAAATGCAATGTAATAGATTGGAAATGACGTTCTACATGCAGTGTTTCCAATGTTTTTGGATGTTGTATCTAAAACTCGAAATTTTTAGTGTACATCAGTATAAAACCGACTTTCTAAAGGATAATGGGTAAGTTGAGAAGAAAACGGATGCAAAATCGGTATTTCATAAATAGAAATCATCATAAACATAAGGAGCGTGGACAAGTAATTTCTTACATTGAGTTTTTTTAAGGGTTTAAAACTATAGACGATCTTTATGCATTCTTCCAGGTAAGAAGTTGAAATTCAAGACGTTTACAAAACAAAGTTGCATCTTACATCCTTCGAAAACATACAATAAACGTTAAGAAGCTTTTATGGGGGCTAATTTTTATCGGTGATCCCTCATAATTACAATTGTTTACACTAACACAAGTGCATTTATGCCTGAT